GGGGCGAAAAGGAAGAAAGGGATAGAGATAAAGATAGAGATAGAGAAAGGGACAAGGAGAAGGATAAAGAGAAAGTTAAAGAAAAGGAAAGGGAGAAGGAGAAGGAGCGAGACCGCGAGAAGGAACGAGACAGAGAAAGAGAACGCGATAGAGAGAAAGAGAAGGACAAGGACAAGGATCGAGAAGAGCGAGAGAAAAAGGAGAAGGGTAAGGAGCGGTGCAAGGATAAGGAAAAGCGAAAGGAGCGTGACAAAGATCGTGAAGCTGCTTTGACTAAAACGAGCCCTCTGTCTGTTACGGCTGCTCAAACAAAGTCGCGAGTTAAAGTCTCAAAAATAGAGGATGGTGTCAAACATGTACGTATACTATTTTCCTCTACACAGGCTTGTTAAATATTTATAATATAAAGCAAACATAATCAATTTTCTGTTTATCCCTTTGACCTAATCCCATACTACCATATTACTCAACGCGCATCATTTATCTGAACTAATTCGTAACATGATTATATATTTTCCATTATCACCCCTATCTTAATTCTTCTTACTGCATCATTGTTTTTAGTTGGACACTGACCATAAGCCTTCCCAACTGCCTCCTTCACCCAGTTATGAAGAAGTTATCAAAGATTTGCGTGCCCAATTAAAGTGAGCCGTCAATGATGCCCTTTCATTATTCTCACAATTTTGAAGCTTCTTGAATATCCATGTTTATTTTTAATTAACTTTTATACACTTACTATTATATTCACGTTATTCTACAAGCATCTCATTCCTTTCCCATCTCTTAGGCGATCTCAAGAGGCACAGAAGGAAATGTCGGTACTATTAAATATGTATAAAGTGATACCTAAGGACCAGCGTGACAAGGCAGCTCTTCTTCAAGCTGAGGCGAAATTACGTTCGGAGTTGAATGAGGCACGAAATGAGATCGTTCGACTCCAGACTCAAGTGGCTGACCTTCAACATCAGCGTAGAGAGCGTGATAAGGAGCGTGAGCGTGAAGAGAAAGATCGGGAGCGTGAACGAGAAAGGGAGAGAGAAAGAGAGAAAGAGAGAGAACGTGAAAAAGAGAAAGATAAGGAGATTGAGCGAGATAGAGACAAGCATTCTTCCGTTGCCCGAAGGCCTTCATCCTCCTCACAAGCATCACCGCATTTAGCCTGCTCACTGAATTCTATTAGCGGCGTGGACGGTCGATCACCCCTCACCATAGACGAGTCCAGACTACAAACATCATCAGTTCCCGTCCATCTTGATGTAAGCAACTCTAATTTCAAAACCCTGTGGCTGTGATCTTCACTAACTATTGACCAGTTCTCATTGTGCTCATCTTTTTCAATATTTTCTTTTCGATAAATCTCACTACGCGCTTAGTCCTTTAGGCATTCTCATTTTTTAAAAAGCTTACTTTGTCTTGATTTTGAGACTATTTTGCTCCATTCCTTAATTATCGGCATT